TATATATATATATATATATATATATATTCCCATTTAAAAGCTGTTAATGCTATAAACATCCCACCTTTTCTTGGAACTAGTGTCTTTAGCATATAAATACAGCTATCATCAGTTGCCCAGGCATGCATTTTCCTATAAGAGTCTCTTCCTTTTTCTGTTAGTTTATCCCAAGGTTTGGGTTTTGAGAGAAGTTCACTAACTGTTCCCTGTGATAAACCAAGGACATACTTGGCAAACAAGCGTTGTCCAATGTTATGGACACTCAGAAGCTCTCGAACACCACGAGAAATGTTCAGTGTATCTAAAGATTCATTTGCATATTTGTTCATACAATTGCGGAGGCACTCTTGGAGTTTTTGTATAGTAGTATCACAATGGGACACTTTGTGTCTTGATGAATCTCTACGAAAATTAGGCTTGGAACAGTTTAAAGGTTGAGGGGGACTGGGAACTGTTGGGGAGGTAGAAGTCTCCAATGACTTGGCTGTGTTATGAGTATAATCACATTCTTCTTTTTTCATTTTCTTTGTATAAGATGACACGATCTCTTCTCCAAGTAGTGAAGTAAATACTTCAACATTTTGTAAGGGTGGAGGTAATGTGTTCTCTGTCAGATCTTGGAGGTTATCTATAGAAAAATATAATAATTATTTCACAGAAATATTGTGTATCAAGTTTTGATTTTGCTCAGTTTCTTTAAATTGTAGGTTTTATATATTTTTTTTTGTTTATTCATAGCCTGATTCTGTACAACATATCAAATTTAAAATCACTACATTAGCAAATCAATAGAAAATCCTTACTAACTTTAATTGAGACAGAAAAGGCTAGCATTTTGTTTATTCAAAACATTTCTGTAATCTTTTGACCTGGGTCAAAGTTGAATATTTTACACTTATAAGTTTATATTTCTATTCTTATAAGCTGGTTTTAACAAGTTCTACTTATCAGTATACATGAATTTCTCTGTTTTAATAATCAAGTTTAAAAACATCTCTGACTAATTTAACATAATAATTTTGTATCTTTAGATCCTCAAATCTGCCTGGAAACTTTTCTCTTTATGGCATACTTCTGTGGCTTGAGTTTTTTTTTATTAATAAGAATACCTGATAGTTAGAAGTATATAGGAATAACCATAATATACAGAGGACTAAGTTTATTATAATAAAATTATTTTTAATGTGCAAACCAGCAAGTCACACGACACCCACATCTGATATATAAAATTACAGTATAAAGGCATATATATGATGCCGTTCATGCAACTGAAAGAATTGGTTGCTTTTGGGAAGGTTATGGAATAGCCTTTCAAATGTAAAATATTCATATGCTCATATCATAATGATGTGTACAGATTGGATATTTAGAATTTCCAAAATAGGAATATTCCATTTACTTAACAGCATTGGAAAAACAAAGAAATATGGACCAACTTGGGGCATCAGGGCCATCCAGAAAGATACCTGCAACAAGCATACCCAAGCTGTGGTAAGTAAGGAGCAGTGTCTTTTAACAGATGAGAATCCACAAACACAAAGATCAGTGGCTAAAGCCTCCATGTGTCCCAGGTAACAGTACGCAATAAATTTAAGAAAGAACTTCATCTGGAAAAAAAAGCAAGTTATTTCCACAACATACCCATTCAACCATTGCATCCTTCAAGCAACTAGAGAATGGAACTGGTATTCATGTTATTCCATATGAAGACATAAAGGTTAAGTCATCTATGTATTTCTGTGCAACTGGAATATTCAAAGGGGCACAGTGAAATTGTCGTCCTTGTACATAAGATGAATTGAAAGCATACAGGGATGTGTGGTGTACTTTGAACATGACAGCCTTCTGAAGGAGCCTTTTGCAATAAAAATTATGCTGCAGGATTATTGTCAAGATGTACATTCATCAGGTAGAGCATGATTGGACATGGCAACATAGACTGTAAGGACATGGTGAGGCTCCAAGATCATTTTAATAAAATGTACTCAATCTCTGTACAAGTAGAACAATTCAATCTTTAAGTTAACCACTGGTGACATATATACAGTCCATAATAAAATATGTATATAAATATATAAAAGCTATTACTGTATAATATGAGCACTCATGAACCGGTAATCTTACCAGCTGAATCAGTCGGGGTTAAACTTTGTGTAGCATCATTTGATTCTGAAGCCTTGTCCTTCTCCACAAGCAAGTTATCTAATGGCTTGACCATCTTATTTTCTTTCATGGCACTGCTATCACTTTCTGGATTACTGTAGTTGTGAGGATCACTTTTCTTTAATACACTGTTAAAATTGTTAGTAAGTAATTTTAATGTTATGTTCTATAACTCAATCATGTTATAATGTAAGATATATGAAAATACTCAATGATCAATGTTATACAATATACAATTAAAATTTTATTTAAAAACGGTCATAAAACAGGCACTCTACATGTTTCAACATGGTTCACATCACCCTCAGGAGTGGGAAAAACAAATGCTGTGGAATATATATATATAAAAAAAACCCATGGTCATGTGACTATAATTGTATATTATATAACGTTGATTGTTGAGTATTTTAAACATTTATATAAGTTTCCTTGAATTTCATCCATTACGTTATGACATAAATGAAACTCAAATTTACTGAAAAATGTAATAAAAAATAAGGACTTTCCTACTAATTAGTTACAAATTAAGCATTACAATTTTTTTCATCTGTTGTACACTATAGTATGTGGTTTAATCTTACATTACAGGTGTAGTATGGAAACTTTGACACATAAACTCAAATCCAAGTAAAAAATTCTGTAAAGTTGTAGGTTTTTCATAAGCAGTCACATCAAATTATATACCATAATATATTTTTTTAAAGATATTAGATGACATAAAAATTATCAGGTATAACAAATGTATATCAATGAGAACATGTATATAAAGTTACATTATTAGAAATACTAGTTACTTAAACATGCTCTTAGTTTAACATTTTTTTCTTTAAATGTAGTTTTTTTTCTTTAACTGCAGGGAACAAAGATAAAAACTGAAGATGATAATTACATCAAAACACATATTTCAAATTATCTGCTGAGTGTTTGATATGACTTTGAAATTATCAGCCACAAACAAAATATGGTGGGAATAGAGCTGTTCATTGTTACATTTATAAAAGACACAGAAACAAGTACTAAAGAAAACTTTGAGGACTATGTTATATAATAACTTTAAATAAAATCCTATACCTAACAGGTATATTGAAAGACCAGTTGTAAATATTATATTGAAAATGTAACTTCTCACAAACATTTATAGTGAAGGACACTTTAAAAATGTTAAGGTCATACTTTAATTCTTTCTTCATTTCTTCATAGTTTGGTTGTTTACTTAATTTCTTCTCCAATAGGTGGATAGTTTTATTTTTGTCAGCTAGCAGTTCTTCCAGTTGAGCAATCTAAATGAGAAATTAAAAAAAAAAGAAGTCATTGTTTTGTGTAATATAATAAAATGCTGCTAGAGTTAGTGTTTAGGCTTAGTCTAAAAGAACAGAGCCATGATTTGAGAAATAAAAATTATATTTTTTTCAAAATTTTCCATTTAATCTAGAGAACGGGCGTTATATTTTACCTTATACATGAACACCTTAATTAAAAACAAATATTTTTTATTATCAAGAAATCAATAAAGTTGGGCTAAAAATCAAGATCATAGCATAAAATTAAAAATGAAGTAAATATCGAGAATTGTGGCATTTGAAATGTGCAGATTCAGTATTCTAGTCAATTAAAACAAATCCTCAGTATGTAAGGTCATGAGTTCAAATCCAGTCTTGCCTCATCTTTCATTTCTTCAGGAAAAATTCTAACTTCACAACCTCAAAATTTCCATATCTTAATTAATCAAATAAAAAAAATCACTTCACGGTGTTAACATTCTAGATGAGGGTTTTGAATCATGCATATTGTCTTCCTGACACAACATCAACTTTTTTTAAATTTCTCGTATTTTTGTTAATATACAATATACTACATACAGAATTGAACTAAAATACATTACATAATAATTTATATAAGATGCTAGAAATGAGCAATGAATCACAGCATAGATTAACATAAGAATTTGAAATATAGAACTAATCAACAATGTTCAAAGAACGAACAGTGACATAAATGTATGAGGTAATTTACTTGTGGGTTACATTATTCTTTCAGCTAAGTATATATATATATATATAATACAAAACAAGCCTTAAAAAATGCTGCACATTAGAACAAAGTCACCAGGACACGGGCTATAGTGTGGAGTATAAGATGTGGCTTGGTTTTTGGATACACATTATAGCCTGTGCCCTGGTGACTTTGTTTTGATGTGCAGCGTTTTTGTTTTATTTCATCACAGGTTTGGTCTTGCCCATGAGCATCCACAGGGGAGCACTTGCCCCCCTGGAAAATGAGAAACATAATTCTTTCTTTATTCATTCAGCATATGTATATGAATTTTTTATTCAATTCACAAGTTCACATTACTTTGCCTCTCCCTACAATAATTATGGACACCCATGGTCTTGCTGTTTGTGGTGTAGTCTTTCCTTTTTAATATAAAAATCAATTTAATTGCAAATATAATGTTTATGTTTACATTATATATATATATATATATATATATATATATATATATATATAC